GTCATATCATACAAATATGACGTTAGAAATATTCTGCTGTTGGAAGGAAAAATATGATGACCTGTTTACTGAGGCGAGGTTGAATAACAACAAGAAGAGTGACGCTCATACACTCTACACACGACTAACAGAATATAATTATTAATAGAGTACTGACCCTTCATCATCATCATCATCATCATCAGCCTCTCAGAGCCCATTGGTGAGCTAGGGCCTCTTCTCACATGGAGAAGATTTGAGTATTAATCACCACGCTTGCTCAAGACGGGTTTGCGATTTCAAACTTATAATATTGAAATCATAACTCTAGGTTTCCTCAAGATGTTTTCCTTCACCGTCTGTTATACAAACATTGAATTATATAAATACTAGAAGACCCGGCGAACTTCGTATCGCCCTATAATCAAGAAATATCTGTTACGTTTTTTTATTTATATTTTTGGAGATTACCTATTAAAGCCATAAGTCTCAATGTTTTGAAGTGCGACAGAATGATTGACTATTAGTTAGTTGTCAAATCTAATGTCAAAAAAAAAAACTTTTGTATGGGAAATAGAAAAGGGCTGTTTTTTATGGTTTTCCCAGTAATGAAACAATTTTTTCCAGCTTTTAAACCTTCCCTGAACCTCCACGAACATTTAAAGACTAAGATAAGATAAATCCGTTCAGCTGTTCTCGAGTTTTAGCGAGACTAAGGAACAGCAATCCATTTTTATATATATAGAAGATTTAAATTCATTCTATTTGTTTCCAAGTTCCAGAAATAGTTGTACAGAGAGACTAGAAAATAAATCTTCTTGGTTCGTTTGGTTTAAGTAAGAATTAAATCATTTAAATAATATATTAAAATGTGATATTAAATGTTTTTATATGAATCACAAGACTATCAAAACGGTTTATATATGTATGTCTATAAAAAAATTGTTTATTCAATAGATTTATCTATCCAACACGTTCGGACATTTTTTACTATACATACTGTCGCTGTTATTTCAAATAATCACTAAATTTATTATAATGGATTAACATTTTATATATTACATTTATTGTAACTTAATAAGTAATAATATAATAATACTACCACACTCAGGGCACACACTGCGAGCTTGTCTTTCAGTTCAGTCTGTCCTCTGGTCTTATAAACGAGTCACACCGTAGTCCCTTACATGCATCTGTTATAATACTTCCAAGACTTAAACTCAGTAGAACCGAGTTTATACACGAGACTAGAAGGTAGCTGTTCCGCTGTAGTGTTTGATATATGTACTCACGTTGAATTTGACAAATACAACGACACAGTTCTTAGTAAATCATTATTAAAAAAATCATTGTTTAATACTGAATTATTAATTATTATTAACAAATCAATGAATAAGTCATTGCATACTGAACTTGATTGTAGTTCGGTGTATAGAGCTCTGATATAAAAAAAAACAAGATCATTGGTATACAATACGAACATAACATAACATAATAACACATACCTTTTCAAATGATTTACAAATAACTATATGTTTCTATTTTATAATAATGAAAAATTAATTGAAAATGATGTCACTCTCGTTATATAAATTTTATGAAGCGAGTTATTTAAATAAAATATTTATTAAGATCATTGGACAGACCACCTCTTTAAGTCGTTACAATAGCTTGATGATGCTCACACATTAAATATTAAGAGATGACGTTAGTACCGTGATGAACACCCTGTATCCCTACTAATATTATAAATGCGAAAGTAACTCTGTCTGTCTGTTGAACTTTCACGCCTAAACCACTGAACCGATTTTAATGAAATTTGGTACAGACATAGAGTTGACATTGAGAAAGAACAAAGGATAGTTTTTATCCCAGACTTTTGAAAGGTTCTCTTGTAAAAGCGATATACTCGTAACCAAACTCCACGTGGGCGAAGTTGCGGGCGGAAAGCTAGTTAAAAATATGTACATATCACTGTTTCATTTTGTATATTACTTAAACATAATATGTAAGATTTTCGAGTGTATTCATTTATATGAAACTAAGGTTTTCGGATACTGCAACGTTCTTTATTTATTATTTTTCAACTAGACAATTCTGACGTTTCAGCCCCTTACCATTCCAGTCATTTTCTGTATTGAAAAGCGGATGTTTTTGAATTTTATTAGAGAAGCTGGAATTTATTTAACACCTGGGACCCCTTAATTAAAAAAAAATATATTATGTCCGTAATCATACCACAATACCTTAGGAGACACAGTGACAAATAAAAAGACTAACTGACAGACACTTTTATCTCGTGTGCCCGTGATCACGGTTAATGCAAGGGATCCGTAACTTGGGTATTATGTAGTAATAAAATAAAGAGGAACGCATAGTATCCAAATACCCTATTTTCATCTGTATTTACAAAGTAATGCCTATAGAATACATTTAAAAAGTGGAACTGTAAAAATTGCATTGGTAACATAAGTATTTATGTATTTTAAAATAAAAAACGTAGTTATTGTAGAAAAACGATTTTTTAAGATTATAACAATCAAGCAATAAATTATTTGAAAAGTAAAAGATAACATATAATAGTAGAAAGTTAAATATCAAAGTAGATTACAAAAAATATTATAATGTTTGGTATGTCTTTTGTACATAATAAAAATAAAAACTAATTATTATCACCGAGTTATTATATTCATATTAATAATTATTATGAGAGGGTTAAATTTATAGATAATACTAACGTTACAGGTAGCTCAGGAACACTAACACATCTCCCCGCTACAAACAACTTGAACTGAATACATACCGAGTATTAACATATCTTCATTTATAGGTACTAAAACAATAGTTTGTGCCAATTATATAATATAATATATAAGGAAAGACATGTGTATTAACAATCACAGTAGAACATTATATTCACCTACAGAATAACATATATTGATGTTGTATTATATTATTGTATATATAATTATATATTTTCATATATAATATAAAACATATCCATATAATGTTTCATTTACTATATATTGTTAATGTCTATTGGGTACAGTAGCAGTACATGTTGAGGTGTGGGTGGGTGGCGCTTATACAGCTCGGCTCATTGTTGTAACTGTAATATATATAATATATTATTAGTATATTATCTTGTATTATATATACAGGGTGACTGGTGAATTACTATCGATATTTGAGGACGTGATATTTGACGATCATATATGACAAAATAAAAATTAATATAACATAAATATTAATAAACTTCTAAGTAAAGTTAACCAAAAGTTATGTAATTAATTACGCATCGTATGAACACCCTACAGATTATATCGGCGCTATCAGCTTTAATGACGGATGCGTTGTGAAAATAATTTGAGGCTGTCATCAATTCTTATTAAAACTCATTAGTATTCATGATTATTGTAAAAAGTAAAACGAAATCAACGATTGTTTAAAAGGAGAATAGAACTATGTTTGAATCTTGTTAAAAATATGACGTCTGGACGCACGACGGCAGAATTCAGAGTTCAGTGAGTGCGTATCATTGAAGTATGTGATTAAGAAGAACCTTCGAGAAACAATGGAGCATTAAGAACAATTGAAGTTTCATTTTAAAATATTATGGAACGCTCTAGAAGAAGTGACATGAGTAACGTCAGCGAGGCTGGCGTCTCTCTAAAAACTCTCTCTAAAATCTCTTTAAAAACAACGAATTTATAATAAATCCTATATATACATTTTAAAAATAACTGTGTTCCTTACATATAATGTATTGCTCCCAGTATAGACTAATAGATTTTAATAATTCTGTTACTTACGCGTTAGTCCTTGATATGTCTCTTGAATTTATCTCAAATCTGTTTTCGTTGATAACATGAGTCACTAATGCTTCGTATTTACCGACACCAGGTCCTACTGCGATCTGAAATTATAAACATAGAACTGTCAGCCTTTCAGTCATTTAGTGTTCAACCACCAATGACTATCACAGTTATCACTTAAATCATCTAATAAACTGTATATGAATATATGGACAGTAGATTCAATTAAACTTTATTGAAACTATTTTTACGTTTTTTCATTTATGTCCATGATTGAGATAATTGATAACAGTATAGTCTTCTTCACAACGACCAGTACATTCGCAACAAATAAAACTTAGAACCTTAATAAATTTCTAATATTATATCCAGATTTTTTTTAAACGGCACTTGGAATCAACCATCACTAAACTACACCTAAGGTATAAATGATCGAAATTTTATTTAAGTTTTAATTAAGAAAAGATAAATAATAAGCTTCTTTAATTGATGCAATAAAATTTTATTACTGTAATGCTTTTTTCTTAATTATTACAAGTGATCACAAAAACATTAAAATTTTTGGCATTTTCTTTTTCTTACATAATATGTATTAACTTAAAAAAATAATAATTTTCAAAATCTTAGGCTGTATTATACATGTATATGTTTTCTTATTCTTTATACAAGAAACTCTGGAAATATAAAGAAATAAATCACTGATTAACGTTTTCTAAAAGAAATCAACACAAATATAACACTAAGGGCTCAGGAAAATTACAAGTAAACTAAGATCAATCTTGACAACTAGTACATAGTATTTTTGTGCTACTGTACTGTGCTGTGTGCTACAAATCTTCTATATCTTCAAGTCCAGATTTGAAAACAAAACAAATGACCAATAAAAGCCTTCATCTCCGTTTCAGAAACGTGGTTTGACTAAATGCGACCGTAGAATTCTTTTCTAAGCTCTTTGTAATTTTTTCGTTGGTATATTTTTTTTAATATTCTTATAATATTATCGTCTATGAGCAGCTCAAATGTTTCTTTGGTAGACATCTGATTTTTAGTCGTTCCTGTTCCAATCAATCGAGGTATTTATTTTATTATATTATGTTGACGAGTACGTGAAGGTGCTGGTGGGTTTTTAGACCATTTGTATTTGTTTTTTCCATAATAACTCCTTTGACTCGGTCCTGCAGTAGGTTCACCTTCACTCTCTGAAAATCATTCTTCAATATCGGGACTTAGTTCTTCACCGCTTTCTGAATCGTGTGTTGATGACTGCTCCAGATCGCTTAATTCATCGTTGTCACTGACATGTTCTTCTAGATAGTCACTTAACGTTAATTCGGAGTCGGAATCCGAAGCCAATATGTCTTCTATCGTTTTTACACTTAACAGTTCTTCCATCTTAACGAAATAACTCTAAAACATACGAACAAATGAAATAAAATATTAACTAAAAATTGACGTAAATGGTATAGTGGGGGCCGCGTGATCCCCATAACGCACGTACCTCCACTCAGGTAAATAATAAAACGCCGAAAGTCCGTCACCCGTCGCAAGACAGGACGTAATGAGATTACTCAAAATAGCTTCCACGCAAGTTAAATAGTTTTAAAGAAATGAAAAAAATAAGACGCTTGGAGGCCGCGCCAACCCCACGAAACCAGCTAAGGGATATAGATTAAGAAGTAGCGTTTAACGTTTGATCTCCATCATATCGGTACGGATTCTTTTACATTAAATTATCCACCCGCAATCCAAAGTAAGTAACAACGCTGCTAATAGTTGGAAAGGGGTTATTAAAAGCGTGCAAAAAAAATATTTTAATACTAAAGTACTCCAGGTTTTTTACTTCTTCCTACCTTAAGCTGATAGTTCTCCCTGGTCTGTTTCACTCTGTTACCAAACCGTCCAATGACTCCGTCTTGATCGCGAGCCTCCACGAACGTTAATACGCCGCTGTTGGGCCTCGCTCGCATCACCCACGACACTGACTTGAGCGAGCGGACCGCACACACCGACCTGGAGATAAACGGACATTATAACATTAATACAGGGTGACTGGTGAATTACTATCGATATTTGAGGACGTGATAGTTGACGATCATATATGACAGAATAAAAATTAATATAACATAAATATTAATAAACTTCTAAGTAAAGTTAACCAAAAGTTGTGTAATTAATTACGCATCGTGTGAACACCCTACAGATTAGGTATACACACACACTCACACACACGCGGCGGGGGCGTGGTTTTGTATCAGCACGAAGCCGCACGCGTCCACACTTGGAACACTTGGAACGTGTCAACACTTTATTTATTTATACGGAAATTTTGTCAAAAATTAAGTACCTATTTTTTTTACATAATTCGAATGAGAATCATGTACCGACTATGCTCCTTAAATATTGATAGTAATTCACCAGTCACCCTGTATATTTACAAAATTGGTTTAGTAGAGTGAGCAGCTTGGACGGTGGATGTGAGCGATTAACGCCCGTTAGATAGGGCCCCCTTAAACAAGGGTCGCAAGTCATAGACACTGTTGAAGATCCTCTCCCTGTAACGCCATGGACCCGGCACCTACACAGTGCATTCATTGAATGCTAAGAGGTTTTTTCTCATAATACACGGAACCACTTCCCTTCAAACCCTATAGTTAGGTAAGTGCTATATCAATAAGTGTTATTGTTCTCCTATTATATATACGGGCCGTTTCTCCTCAGTGAGATCATTAATAAAGTCCACGAGCGCGGCGGCCGTCCTCCTGAACATGACGTCATCGTGCGTCACGTTCTGCCACGACAGACACGAACACCAGTGAGCCTCCACACCCGCCTCGCTACACGATCTGTTCTTTGGTATCTGGAGAAAGACATGTGCTCAAGTATAATATCAAGTTCTGATTAATAATTGCTAAGCTAAACATTAAATTTATTAAGATTATGTTGAAGGTGGATAATTATCGTATGTAAAGTTTTAGTTTCTGTCAAAAATTTGGATGTACCAGCTCAAAAAACATATGTATTGCGATCTCCTAGTTTCTGGTTAAGAGCTCTTAAAATAGTACAAACTGTAATTAAAACTTCTAGACCGAAATTTAACACAATGTTACACTCGCTGCTACCATAAAAGACATATTGTTTCTATGGTTGATATTATTATTACAAGATCAGGGTATTTAGGCTATACAGTAGGACCCCGATTATCCGGACCTCGGTTATCCGAATTCGCGATTATCCGGACTGCCAATCGCGACGAGTTTATTCTAACACTAGCTGTGCCCGCGACTTCGTTCGCGTGGAATAGTGACTATGAGCAGCATTTTTTTTTTAATATATACTTATTTTTATTTTGGATCATAATCACAGTCATTTTGGGTAGCTAAAAAACCTACTTTACTGTAATGCTTCTCTATATACAATATTAGACGTATGGCCATCGGGGGTGAAATGGCCATACAAACGTATGGCCATACAGGCTGCTGGGATTGCTAACACGGGACAGAGCCACATACAATTGACACATCCGGTCGAATATTGAACGCAGTTCTTCAGTTCTTTAATTTGACATAACTTTTTTATTTATGAACCGATTGACATGAAACAAACACTAAAGCATAACTGAAGCATACCACAATATATTTGTGAAAACCGAATCCAACTCGGATCAGCCGTTTCTTAGATTAGCGTGAACAGACAAAAAAAAAGTTAATTACATTTTTGGGTTCGACATCGACATAACAATAATCCCTGTTATTTTTTTTATTTTTATTTTCAATGTACAGACAGCACTTTTCTACAATTTTATTATTGTATGTATAGATTAACATGTCAGAACTTGCACAACGCCACGCCACTTATCACACTTATACGTACATTATGTACAATTTCTTAATAAACGTTGATTTTCGCTCATATGTATTTGTTGTTTTAAATAAACACCTAACATTACATATGTATGGTACAGACTACATATGTACATATGCAAAAAGCCCGTTTTTCTTCATATATTGGATTATCCGGACTTTCACTTATTCGGATGCCTACCGACAACAATTAGTCCGGATAATCGAGGTCCTACTGTATATGCTTTACTTTTAAAACGTAAAACATTAGTTTGGATAATTTTAGCTCAACAATTGATTTTAACATATAATAAGACATCCACAAGAGCTGTGAGCGGGTCTAAAATATTATCATAATATAAATTAAAAGCAGTTTATAACAAAATACGTCAAATAAAAATCCTACTGGCCTAAAACTTCATTAGCACGGACTAAGTAGGATTTGAACCTGCATCCAAAATATCACATTCCAACTGTTTCTCAAACTGAACTATCACGTTAACTCGAGTTGATCAATGATATTATAATGTACTGACCGGTTCCAACACTGATCGGCTCCTTTAACTCTATATGTGTCAGTGAACTGCGTCAGGTCCAGTACATCTAACACCGTCGCGTATATGTCGTGAGGTGTCGTCAATACTTCCACGTTCTCCTTCAGATTCTTCTCCGCCTCTGTTCTCCTCTTCTTCAGTTTGTCTGGAAGTCTGATCGCCATGAGAGTTAATCTCTCTTCCAGTTTCCCTTGGAGAGTATCTCGAACGTTTGCGTACCTCATTTTATGGTAAAAACATTATGTGACAAGCTTATTTATTGATAATTCTTGAGGATCTCTTTTACGAGTCAAGTTTTAATTTATTTTTAGGTTTATCAGTTTAGTTGCTAAATCGTATTATATTATTAGCAAATAAATTAAATCAAAATTATATATCAAAGAATGAATGGCAATATTAAAACATATGATACTTTCTTGAATAAATCTCTTAAACATTAACCCATAACGAAAAAATGAAAGGTAGAGGCAATTCGATGATTATTATTTATGAGTACTACAATTAATACAATTGTAAAAAAATAAATATAATAACATTACATATATCATTTGCTTTTTGTTTATTTGATTTAATTATAATATTTACCTCGTTCCATGGCCCCCCATGACAATTATCAAGGTGTCCTCTCTACATCGGTCATGGAATCTTGTAAGATACTCCGCAGTGTCTTCATCAGCTATAGATATCACGTTGAAGTCATCATGGGATATGTCAACTATAAACGTGAACGCAAAACGTTTTCCGTCCAGACGGAGAAACTGAAAAGAAGACGAATGAAAAGATAAAACAGGAAAATAATATTTGACTTATAAAACTAAGCACCGTCAGAATAACTGAGTTATTATATCAGATAAAATCTAAAACGTATAATTGTAGTAAGTATTTCAATATTCTATATACTTGATTGAAAAATTATGATGAACCAATCAAAAATATACCTTATTAAATAAAACTTAAAGAATAATTTCCATGCACCTGATCAGTAATATCCAACATGAGTTTATACTGCGGAGTATCTCCCACGCAGTATTTGTTCAAGCTGCTCGTCCACCATTTCTTACCACCGTTTGACTCCTCCATATAAAACGATAGCAAGTAATGATCCGCGGGTTGCTTCTTGAAACCATTGAATCTGTACTGGAATGTGCCTATCCAGGGCATGTCTTCGAAGAACGCTGTTCGGTAACTGAAATCATACATATTATGCTTACATCAATCAGATCTTTAAGCATCAGTAAGTTTGTGATGCATTTTGCTCGTTTGTAGCTAAAAATAATTTGCACAAGTCATATGGAATAAAGCTATAGATTAATTAATTGTCAAGAAATGAACTACAAAATAAAGAAGATATTTTAATGTATGATTAAATAAATAATATCATGTTGAAAATCCAAAATCATTTAAATTTCTCTTAATAATATCTGTCTTAATTTTTCTTAGTATTAATGTTCATTTTTGAAGTGATTCATGAAGAGTGAATGATAACATTAAAATAAAGATTAAAAAGACTGACGCTTATTATATTTCCCCAAAATTAAGTCCACCCTATCCACCAAGTCTCACCCTTCTTCCTCCAGCTTATAGAATATGAAGGGCATGTCGTCCAAGGTTCTGTTGTTCTTCATCTTCTACCTCACGTCAGGCAGTTCCAACTCCGTCTTCCCCGTCAGGATCGGGAACAGGGCGGCGGGCGTCCCATCGCATACTATGTTGTACCTATCATAAAATATTATTGAAATTTTCTAATATTACTAAGACTATTGGGGTCGGTATTTAGATTAGAATTCCTCAAGAGAAACATAAAGTAACGAAATGTAAAGTTGTTTACCATTTTAGATATTGTTTTCTTATAAAGTTTCTTATTTATTTTTTTTTTTATTTATTTATTTGAACGGCACATCGACAGTACATACATTAAGCACTTAGAACTAAACATTTAAAACTAAACACTAACTGATGTATGTACCAATTATGGATGTACACATCACTGCTAAAAATTAATTTATTAAAAAGATGCAGATAAATTTAAGAAAAACAACAAAGAAAATTTACCCCGTAATATATCATTCAAAATATCATGTTGGTTGTTACATACCCATTCAAAATCGTAGCGCCCAATGTTTCCTCTAAAACTTTATAGCTCTTCGGCATTTTTCGTATGAATCCGTTTTTGGAGGTGGAGTCGAATCCCAGGATGAGAACGGAAGCCAAGAGAGTGGCCGATCCATTTGGATGGGAGTATACTGGAAAATCGTGAATACATTGGAAACATTTTGTTCAGATTTATATTAGTAACAATTATTCAAAATTGTAACGTGACGTCTACACTAGGGAAAATAATCAAAACTGTTAAAAATATAAGTAGCAAGCAACATATCTGAAAAATTACTAATCAAAAAACATATATAACTTGACCACAGTGGAAGATCTCAAGAAACAGCAGTAAAAGGTTATAAGAACTAAGACTAAACGATAGTATTCCCGTTATCCTGATTATTGAAAAGTATTTTTCACTACACTTTCTATTGCCTTTAACACATAATCTCACCTGTCCCTATGTTTCCCTGAACACTTAATCTTTACATGATCGCTCTTAGTGAGGACATACTCGTTATCACCTCTGACCTCTGTGGGAGGACCGATTGTATATTTTTGATCACTCTCATATATTATGTCTTGGTATGAACATACTATGTTATCGGTGGTATTTAATATTTTCGGAACTATCTTACATTTAGAATGCTGAAAAAAATTATATTAATTCATAGAATATATGTTATCTTTCGTGTTTAATATCAGGGTTTATTACAAAAGCAGTATCCAAATCATATTAACTCACATAACATTTAACCCTATCCGTTCCCAAACACATAACCTTGGGTATGTCCTTATCAAACTGCGTGACTTCTTTAGAGAATGGATCCAACCGGGGTATCTCACACCCGGAGCCTTTGTCCTGTTTCAGAGATTGTTCTAATCGTCTTTCCATGGACCTGGATTAGAAATATCAAACGGTTTCTTCGAATTAAATCATAAATTCAAAATATTTACGAATAAAATATAGGATTTTACACTAGAAAATAGTCAAGATTTATTTATATATTTAGTGTATATTATAATAAAATAAAACAGATATCACCTAACCGATATTGATAAAATTATGTTCATCGCTGCATGAAATTCCAATTTTAATAACACC